TGCTGAAGAACTTATCCAGGGGAATGCACAGTAGCCTCTCATACAGGATCAAGGCCCTCTCTTCGATAAGGGAATATATTGTAATTGTATTTTATTGTATTGTATTAGGATCAAGGCCTTCTCTTCAATGCGCAGTAGCTTCTCATACAGGATCAAGGCCTTTTCTGGATAATAGCTTCCCATACAGGATCAAGGCCTTTTCTTTGATAAGACCCTTCTCATACAGGATCAAGGCCTTTTCTTTGATAAGGCAACAACAGGATCAAGGCCTTTTCTTTGATAAGGGAACATATTGTGGAGTTCCTGTAACTTGGAGCATTGCATCAATGGGTGTTGATTTTATTCCTCCCAGTAATAAGTCGTAATGCTTGGTTGTGTGCCTTCTCGAGTGATACACCTCTGTGGCTGTAATGAGTGGCTCACAGCAATACAATTTTATTGGCTGGAAAATAATCTCTTCTAAATCAATCAACTCAGCTTATTTTTTTGACGAGAATTCTGGGTTGAACTTGGGTATATTTAAAATAATTTTGAAGCGGTATTAAAATTTGGAAAGTTTGTTTTGTCGCATACTACAACTCGCAAGCATGTAGTAGTTCAACCTTTGCAGATCTATTCATAATGAAGGTGGTAGATGGTGTATTAGGGCAATACCGATATGATTGGATTCGAGTTAAATCACGGCGTGTCATACTGGTGAAAATAGTTACAGTCCCTCTAATGACAATGAAATTTCGAACAACAAGATAACCGTTTAAATAAGTATACATGCTGCCTATTCACCGAGGCAAAAGAGCGTTTAATTTTTAAAGTCAATTATCTGCGATAATTAATTGTTCACCATTTTAACTGGCGCAAAAAATGCTAACTATATCTTAACTTGAAGCCTACTTGAAATATGTTCGAAAGTTTCTACTAAGTCACTTCAAGTAGTATAGCATAACGTCAATTTTCATTCAAACTATATGTGAACTCGATAAATTTGACTTCGACTGGGTTACGCAGGAAAGGATACTTAAATACGGATGCAAAAGTGCCCATAAATTTATTGAGATTCGCTGTGAGAGAAATAAAGTGAGCAATTTATTTAAAAATTCTATAATCTTAAGATGATTTTATGTGAAAAAAATTATGTTAGGGAAGCGCACATGTTCGTTAATTTTTTGAACGTCTTCAAGCCCATCACACTTGGCTCTACTATCCACTGGACTTGTGGCGGTCAGTAGAGAACCCTTGAATAGTTTTTGAAAGCTTGATAATTTTGCTAAGGCTGAAACTCCATGGACATGTTATTGCAAATGCCAGTTCGAAGCGACAAAGACTAGACTGTGTAGATTTGCTTGAATGGATTGTTTAGTTCAAAGAAATCGCAAGTAACAATATTCTGTCTAAGATCCTCTATTAAAAACCAGATCTAATTCTTTCCTTTAGCATATTTTAAGTATTATAAATGAAAACGTCTCTTTCCCCATACTTTTATTTATAATCGAACCGGCTTGGTAATAGAAGCAATTGGGAAATCCACAGGGTATTCGTGACATAGAGCCATTCAAAGTCCGACTTCATCAGAGTGAATAGTAATAAGTATTAGGGTGTAATAGTTGGACTCAAGATATTCAAATTTAGCCCATAACTAAAGGTGCCATCAGCCAAACTATCTAGGTTCGAGCAATTCAGAGCACACGACTTCGTCTACTCTTAGAAATGGTTCATGAGTTGCAGAATAGAGGAGTTGTGTGGATGGATGTCTATTTTGAAAGCCGATCTAAAAATTTTCAAAGTTAAGCTTAAACTGAAAGAATTTTGTGCACATATCCAAGACTTTTATCTTTACAACAAAGAGTAAACCATTGCAACTTTAATTATGCAAAAAAATCCCAGTTGTCAAAAATAAATTAATTAAGTTCTCACTTCAACACATGTCTTAATGTAGATGTATTCGCCTCTACAGTTCAAGCGGTATATTTACTGCAACATGTTCAAAGGGGCCTAGCTTGAAAAAAGCAAGAAACCTAAATTACAAATTTCGTATCATTTTCATAAATATACCAACCATCTGCGAACGCACCTCCAGACAACAAGTCAAATGAGTGATCTTAGTTAATTCAAGGTTTCGAATATTACTGTTCAACTAACAGATGTCAAATGTAAGAAACTTGACACAAGCTATCAATCAAACTTGCGTTTTACTAAATCAACAATACTACTTAAATTGTTTCAGTAGAACATCAACGATAAACAACGTCCAATGAGTTATACTAGTATGCATATACTGCTTTTACGCAAAACCAATTGAAAAATTTGTCAGAAACAAAATATAGGAAGACACACTTATTGAATAAAAAAATACTTTAATGAGAGCGTCACGTTAAAAATTTCCAACAAACAGAGACAGATAAACATGTAAAGAGTAAAGGGAAAGATAAAGCGGAGAATCCTATGTACACGCACAATAGTGGTAGACCAATGAGTGGGAAGTGAGAGGTGGGGTAAGGAAACAAAATGAGGAAGAAATGTTTGGCTTCCCACTTAGGTGAGATAAATGCGATGATAGTCATTTGCTCCAAAAGTGGCATTGCACTTGGGACATTTGCGGTTACGTGTCTCGTAGCGAGTCTTCAGGCAATTGAGGCAGAAGACATGAAAGCATTTGGTCAATATGGCATCTTTCTTGTGGGTCTTGCAAGTAGGACAGGCCAATTGCTCCTAGAGAAGAGATAAATAAGACAGCACGTAAGGTTGACCCATTTTATCGGGGTCGGTCCATGAACTATAGTTCATGGAGAGTAATCTCGGAAGACTTTCGAGTCCATTGGGGTAAGAGTTAAAATGACTGCACTTAAACCCCTCATGCTGATCAAAACTAGTAATTTGTTCTTTTTTCATTTTCAACACTGTGACGACTCAGGTGTTCACTGTCTTCTTAATTAATTTGAACTATAATTACTTACTTGCTGCAATCGCATTTATTAATATTACGTTAAAATAGGTAAGAAAGCGAAACTTTAATTTTGATATTCAAGAAAAAATGTGATAAGGTGAGATTTTACAAATGCAAAAATAGACACACCAAGCTCTTCAAAAAAGAAAATCAACAATGAGTCAGCTATGGGTACGCAAATCTGTAAACAGTCCCGATTTCATCATCACGCAAACTATTTAACAACTGTCTGTAGAGTATCAGTAAGTGATCCACCCAACAACACACAAAGCTTGCTACCAAAGGTATTCTCAAGGTTAAAATAAAACCGGTATGTACATGTAGAGTGATCTACGGGTGTCTAAATGCCCCAAAGTGCAAAACGGTATTGATATACCAAGCATTTTGGAGGACAGCTCCTTCAGAGGTGCAGGAATAGTTTATAACTACACAGTCGGGTAGTCACACAAAACCCCCATATTATAGACGTTACAACGAAATGAATGCATAGATGAAAGTTAAATATAAAGATGGTGAAACGACGAAAGGCGCACATGACTGTAGTTAGGGGTTATGGATTCAATGCTGCTTGGTGCACGCCAAGAAAACAGAGCGACCAAGAGCACCAGTAAGTTTAATTAATATGTAGTGGCAGAAGGCGAATAGTTAATCAACTACGCTACTCCATTCTCCTCAAGACGAGTGTTAAACCATGTTTCCCAAAATGCATTTGGAAGTTAGGAGGCAAGTAACAGTCACCTAATCACGTCTTGAGCAGAGAGGAGCTAAACCTTTAACCAAACCCTACAATCTGATTACCGACTCAATACATTCCAGTAAGCGAAAGAAGAACTAATTGCATACCGAGACAAGACCCCCCCCCCCTCCACTTGATCAAACGGACTAAATGACAAAATGTACTTATGCCCCACGTAAGTAGATAATAAGACGAGGACTTGGGTAAGGGCAGACTATGCAAGTGGAGTAATGTGGGTGTGAGAGGGGAGGAAAGTAGAGGGGGGGGGGTATGTGTGCGAAGGAAAGAGGAGAGGATTTAGAAGTTGGCTTACCTTGTAATCCTGGATTTCAGCCAATAAGACCTCGTCAGCATTGTGCGATTGTTCGATCTTCCGCAAGCGCTCATATTTGCGTTTCAGAGTAGTGTATTCCTCCTGATTTTGGTACACAAAAAAAGAAAGGAGAAAAAGGGAAAGTTAGAAAAAGTGAAATTGCTGAAAAGAAACATGTTTATGCCATAATAAAATTGTGCAGAAGTAACCATTTAGGAAAGTTAATTTTCCTGAAACGCTAACACTTTTCCAGCCTCGTATCTCAGTTTTAGTTTAAACTTTATTTTAAATTTGCAGTTTACAAAGCAGTTCATTAAAAAACCTGTGAAATGACAGGAGCCGAAATACAGTGTGGACGAGGCGGTAGCTAAACTTTTTCACGACGTTTCAAAGAATTCTAACTTATGTTACCAGAAAAAAGCTGTAATCAACATCTAACCAACGACAATGTTCCCCTCAAACACTGCCCACAACCAAGTAATAAATCATTAAGGCTTTATGAAGCAACAGCTAGGCAATGTTGGAACTATTCACCATATAGCAGTGTAGGGGGCCATTTTTGTCGAATTACCACTTTGTTCATTTGGTATTGGAGACGCTGAACCAAGAGCCGAACTAAAACTATCAATGGTAATCATATGACAACCACTCCCTCAATACCATCCTGTCAAGGTGACACTGCAATTTTTAACAATACTTGAAAGCATACTTTACTTATCTTATTGTTATTAAAATAACGAACAACCATGCAATGGTTGAGTAAAAAACAAGAACTCGTTGTTCTTCTTCCATGATGAAAGACCGGCCTGTAGATTGCAAAAAAATAGCTAGATATTTCTTAAAGTCATGAAAGTGCACAATCCTTAATATACAGGTAAACAGCGAAGTGAAATCAACCGTTGATATCTACCAACCTGAAGTCTCTGATGGCGGAATGAGACCTGTTCATAGGCTGAGGCTTTTTCTTGCACCGATGTTTGAGCTTCATTAAGTTGAGCAAGGTACTTTTGCACCGTAACACGTAGGTCCTCTTCGCGTTGTTGACACTCCACTGATTTGCGTTTGTATGCCTCCTGGGATTGCTGACGTGAGGAAGCCTCTTTCTCAAGAGTCTCCAAATTGGCAAGAAGAAGCCGTTCCTATATTTAAATAGAAGCAGGAGACAATAAAATAACACCGCAAAAAAAATCGAACGAAATGCTCAGTTATGACAGATGGAGAGATAGAATCAAATATCGTTTTGGTATATACACATTTTCTGTCTGAACGAGGTGAATATGGGATGCATTTACTTAAAATAAGGATAAGTAGCCAGTAATATTCTCGATTTTTTACTAATTAATTTTAATGTAATGAATTTAAGCTGAGAGGCTAGAAGAAGGAGATGTGCTGAGATTGTGCAACAGACCGCCATTACTCGTCAGTCAGCTTTTAGAAATTAGGTTATGAAATATCACTAGGAGACACAGCGATTAGATCAATCAGCTATGGAATTTGGAACAAGATGCCTTTTTCTTATTCAACATCCTATTCACTTATACTCATAATCTTTACCTAAACCAACAAAAACTAGGCATATCTAGGTGATTTGATTTTAAATCCAAAATTTAAAAGACTAAAAAAATGAGAACAAATTTAATATAAACCAGTAGGTTTATAAAATGAATGATGGGAAGACAATACATAGGAGATCACGTATGCTTCTCAGACCACTCGAGACTTCGTTATAGTCTTTGGCCTTGAATTACGCTTCGATCTACACACATACTTCTATGATTATTTACCTCAATCTACGCAGTTAAGTAACCGATTTCCAAAACTCATAGTACACCGCCAATTGACATATTTGAATAGGATAAAAGGCATTTAAATGTCAAGAGATCTTTGAATGGAGTAATTGAAAAAATTTCCCTCTATACTGCATAATTTTGGAAATTAAATCTTTTATTCAGATTCGAGAGGGGATATGAGCAAATGAAACCGTAGCCTCTACCTATAGGGGAAAATAAAATTGGGAAAAGACCAGTAAACCATTTTTCACGAATATTACATGAAAATACTTGACAGGAAAGAAAACCCTTAAGAGGTGAAGTTGCCTAAATGGCATTACAATAGTGCTTTAAGGGTTACCATTGCTAACCGCACCCCCTCACTCAAAGGGAAAAGCCCCGAGGATGGGTGTCACTTAGAGCATCAACTGGCTGGTATGCGTGAAGAGAATAGATAACGACAGTTTTTTCATCATCAAATCACAAGATGGAACCACTAGGCTAGTCACTATTTAATTAAATAACATTCATTTTGGGTGGGGGCATTACATCACAGGAAATTCTGTAATGGCAATTATTAGGCAGACCAAATCAATAAGGATTGTAGCCGTAGCATTTGGCTTCACAGACGAGTAGGTAAATCACACTGGGGCACTGCCATACATACCAAAGAGAGCAAGATATATGAAAGAACTATTATTGAGTGGTCACGAAGAGTACGTACAATTAAAGAGTTAGTGAGCCTAGGGATGAAAACTAAGGCTGAAAGAAGGAAAGGTGTTAGGACCTTCGTGTGGCTACACTACCCACTAACCAGCATTCACAAGGGTATGTGCTCCTTACTCGTCACTGTACCACATTCTGAAACTAGTTCTTTTAGTCAACAGCCCCCACTCCCTAAACCATTTATTGTGCCAAATAATTGTGTAGATATGTGGATGCGTGCTCGGTCTGACTAAGCCTACAATACCATTTACACGCCTTTGCATATATATGACGTCTGAGAGGTGACGACAAAGTGCAAAACAAGTACTATGCCGTCACTAGGTAGTAGCAGCAGTAGAAGCAGCGAAATATCACGCTCTAGAGGTAAGCTACTTTCAAATCAAATTAGCGTGAAAGACATTGAATGATATGAGCTGTAATGCCCCTTTTAAAATAGTTATTTGTTTATTTCAAATGGTAGGCGTTTTGAAAGTTATCATTAGCCCTCTAGCTGATTTCGGGCTTCATAGAGAGGAGAAACATCAAAGTGACAAAAAGAAGAGAGGGGGCAGAATAGTGATTCACAAATTTAAAGGAGGCAGAGAATAGGTAAGATAATTACTGTGGAAGGCGTCGAATGTGACATGCCGTCGGGCCATGGTAGTTTGAAGTCAGAAGTCGACTGCCGGTTTATAGACTTTTTTGCCGTATGAGTATGCGTCGACCAGGGTGCCCCACGAGGAGCTAAGTCTATCGCAC